TTATTTATAAAAATATTTTTATTATTTTTATTTTTAAAATATTTATTAAATAAACGTCATTTTATTTTTATTTTTATTTTATACTTTTTTGAAATATGTAAAAATTGTTTTTAAAAAACGGTCCTAAACACGCTTAAAAAGTTGTGTTTTTAGAACTTCTTTTTTAGGGTTCGTTTGGTTGGAGGATTCAAATCATGTGATTCGAACCATTTTTGATTTACGTGTATTTTTTATGAAAGAAAATACTGTAGCGAACTACAAATCATGATTCGAATCAGGGAACGAATCCCTCTACCAAACGCAATCTAAATTACAAAGATGCCATCTATTATATTTTTTTCCTAATGGGTCCCACGATAAGTTCTCCTCCTTTCAATATACTTTTTCTTTGTTTTTTAATAAGTTCGCTAGCTAAAGACTCTCTAATTTAGGAAGCGTTTGGTTCATAAATTAAAATAATGTGATTAAAATTATTTTTTATTTACGTGTATTTTTTATGAAAAAAATACTGTAATGAATTATAAATTATGATTCAAATCATGATTTGAATCCTCTAACTAAACATCTCTTTACTTTTGGTCGCTCCAACTTTTTTTTTTTTTTGCTCCAATGCCATTCTTCCATCTCATGCGCCATCTTCTTATTCTCTTTATTTCGTTCATTTCACGAATTGTATCTTATTATTTATTTCACGTTAGGCTAGGTTATATTCTATTGTTTATGGTGTTCTGGACAGAATTCATGGGTTTCTTTCCCAAAAAAAAAAAAAAAAAAAAGAATAAAAGAAGGTCATAAGCAATAACACTTTTTATTGCATGAAATTAGGGAGGAGAATTTTACCCGTTAATTCATTTATTTATAGAGACCCGCATCTAATGAGGCGAGGAACATCCACTTTAAACGAATTTATATTGTAAATGGATTAAAACCTTAATCCGTCGCGGGTCGCAAGACGGAGACGGGTTTAGAGGTTCCGATCATATTTCTCGTTTAACCGTCCAATTTAATTATATTTTTATTTTTAAATTAGATATATATTATGTGTAATATGATATAATATATACTTTTAAGTATAATGTATTGTTATTACATAATATATACAAAAATTTAAAACAACTTTTTTAATTTTTAACTTAATATTTTGTATGGTTGTGTTGCTTAATTAATTATTTATTTATTTTACAATGAAAATAACTAATCGAGTAAATAGGGCACTGCGAATACCCCAAATCTGTGACGGGAAAATCTGTCTCATAACCCGTCAACTTACGTGGATTTATGGGACGTAGGGGTGGCAATTTCATACACGACACGATGAAACGATGAGTTTAGACTACACGATTATTGATTGGGTCGTTAACGGGCTGGCACGAATAACACGAAAATAAATGGACTGGATTCGTGCAAGTCCGTTTAACACACTTAACCCGTTTTGTTATGCGGGCCGTTATCAGGCTGACATGACATGATACGCCCGCTCGTTTAAACCCATATTATCATTAACAAAATGTTTCTTTTTCCATGAATAGGTTAAAGCAACTGTAAACTTTTAGAACGTAGTTGAGCATTCAACCTTAAAGAATATATTTTCTTATATTTATTTTTATGTTTTATGCACTTAAACATTCAAATGTTTGGTCTTGTTTTGAAACATATATATATATATATATATATATATGATATGTTGGTTTTTCAAACTGAATTTTCAAAAATTTATGCTAAAGTGTAGTATCAATCGAATCACATAAATTAAAATTTAATGTGATCATTATTTCATGTTAATTTAACTACAAAAAAATTAAAGAGAATAAGAATATTTTTTACCGTCGTTCAATTAAGATGTTAATCTTGAACTCCTCCAACACCATCTTGAGTTTTCCTTATTCGTTTCGCTGATTCGAGTTTAAAATTCGAGTTTTGCTACAATAAAAAGCTCTCATAAACAGTCACATCTAACTTTTTTGTTACAGTAAAAAGCTCTCACATAAAATCACATCTCAACTCGAATTCTAAACTCGAATCAGCGAAACGAACGAAGGCTAAGAACTCCACGGTTCTTTCTCAATATATCTCCGGACTAACTTGAACTTAAATGAGTGGACGTTCTAATGAATTTTTCAACACATAAGATAGATAAATTAGAAAAATTACTTATAATTATCACTTATTTTTCTTTAAAATATGTGATAACACTCAAAAGACTTTCTTTGATTTTTTTTTTCTTTTCTCTTCTCCCGTACTTTTTTTTTTCTCTGAAAATTTTATATTTTCTTAACTTCAATGCACGCTTTTCCGTACAAGTTTGTATGCGCCAAAATGAGGAAAGTAGGAAACGTGCATCCTTCCACGTTTCCTTTTCCTGCCACATCCTTCTCCTTTTTTTTATTTTAATTATTGTTATTAGAGGAAACTTGCGCTGTGCACGTTTCCTCTCCTTCGTGTGTAAGTCACACACAAATAAGGAACCGCATGTTCCCTTCTTTTTTTTTCTTTTTTTTTTTTTTTAAATAAAAGATGTGGAGAGTATAGAGTGTGAGAAAAAATTTCCTTCCTTCCATAAAGATAAATAAATTTATTTATATTAATTTAAAATTATTTAAAATTATTTTTAATATCAATTAATCAAATTAATTATTATATGTGTATTTAGAATTCTCAATTTTAAATTAATAATCATAACTCAAAATGATATATTGAGTTCACATTAATTTTATGGAGCCGTTGAGAGGAATTATGGACATTATAATTTTAATCTTTAATAATTTTGACAATTAATTAACACCTTAATTTATATATCAAAATTATTAATTTCAAATTACTCCACTATAAATTTAGAATTGCACTCTTAAAATTATAAAATAATTATGTTCACGGAATTTGTGTTGTCCATTGATATAGTCACTACATACGAATTAATCCTCCATAAACAGTTCATAATTAAAGCTAGAAATTTTTCGTTGACCTATTTAATTATATATTTCTCCATAAGTACTATTTATCCATAATGAATAATATATTTTATGATCCAATCATAAAATTGAGCGCTCTTATTATTCAAGTCTTGAATCAATACTTATGAGAACCGTCCATCTACTTTATTATGAAGGAATAGATTTCATCTTGTAAATTAATATTTCCGGCTATTTATTTTACTATGCTCCCACTATACCAAGGCTTTGACATTGTTCATACGTGTCATTACTCAATATGTCAAAGAACGTAATATCATAAATAGAAGTCTATTAATTACTTAGAATTAAGATTAATTCATATATGACCATCATTGATTAATATTAAATGCTCTATTTAATAACGAAATTTATTAGAGATTCATAATTAATCGCATTCCGGTCTTATGTAATCATATTACATAAAATGTTTTCATTCCAGTAATCTCATTATTAACAATCTAGGATAAGATTATTTCATTCAGAATGTAATGAACCGCATTAGTAATTTTAAATTAAAGATCTCAACTTTAATTTATAATTACGGACAAGTTTAGATTATTTTACTTCAAACATTATACTCTGTATATAACACTTATATACAATGTTTAAAGTTACACCTAAAATAATCTAGGGATTTTGATATTTATAAAACATCACATGCATGTAAAATAATATTAAAAAAATTCATCATTTCATTGATAATTAGTAAAATATTTACATCTTATTTGATTTATGGGCATATACTCCAACATGATAATCTAGTAGTATCACATGTATATGTGTGTGTGTGTGTGTGTGTTTGATATTCAGATTTTTTTATGCGTGTTGACTATTATGGAGAATTAGAGAATTTATGTTTTTCTTATTATATAGTCGTCAAATTTTAATTATAAGGGATATTAAGTAGTCAATTAATATTAGTTTTAAATATAATATAAAATTTCACTATTTTTGCTACTTGGGTCATAAACGTGTTTTTTTGTATCGAGCCGTTTAGTAACCGTGTTTGTATGTCGTGTCGTGTTAACCGTATTATTAGTGTTACGTGTTCATGTTTGGGTTTATGACACGTTCATTAATCGTGTCGTGTTCGTAGTTACTATAATCGTGGCGTGTCATAATCGTATCGGCCCAAACACAATACGTTAACACGAATTGTCAGTCCTAATAGGATAAGTATGGTGAATATTTTTATTCACAAAGCGGGTTTGCGAGAAGACTACCCCGCCTCTAATCTGCCCTATTATTATCCTACCTGAAACTACAATTTTATTTTCTCTTTCTAATTACTTTTCGTTCTCTATTAGAACAAAGTGAGAAATTATAAATAATAGTGTATTTGTTGATCAATACTATTGATTGCTGGAATGATTTTATGAGTTTTTTTCATTAAAAAAAGAATAGCAAAAAGAGAGAACAATTGCCAAAGAAGACTTGTTCAGAGGGGAAAAAAAAAAAAAAAGCAAAAAAAGACTGGCTGAGGGGAAGAGATTGATGATATTAGGCTTTTTTTTTTTTTTTTTTTTTTTTTTTAAAGGGTAGATGATGTTATCATGTGGGTCCCACTGAAATGACAAATTGACTTTCGCTCTACGGTTCTGTAAGTAAGAGATGGCATCCTTCGTAATTTACAATAAAAAGAAGTGTCGTGTTTGTAATTGTGCTTATTTTTGTTTTTCACGTTTTAAAAAAAAAATAAAAACAATTTTAAAACGATATTTAACACAATTAAAAATAAAAAATAAAAATAAAAATAATTTTTTAATTTAGTATAAAATAAGAGAAAAATAAAAGGTGTTTGAAACTTATTTTAAAATGTGAAAAAATGAAATCAATTTTAAAAACGATCGAAAAATTATTTTTTATTTTTTATTTTTATTTTCTTCTCTTTTGAACAGAAAAGATATTAATGAGTTTTTTATATTAAAAATAATCTCTTAATAAAATTATTAAA